GAACATACGGGTCTTCTATGTTTTCAGTGTAAAATATGTACTAATCTGGACATTTTGTAAGTAATTTTTTCAAGAACTTTTCACATTTGTTTCACCCAACTTAGAATATCTCAAGTACCGAGTAGTACTGCCAATTCATGTTTCTTCCTGGATGATTTATAATAAGTTCAATGATCCCCTGACTTCCTGTCAAGATGAACTTTTTAATTTGTCTCTTTGGATTATAATCAAACCAATCATAGTATTAGTTTGGACACGCCACATAGTGTCAGATTGATCAACACCAACACTGGTATTGGATTGATGCTGTGATAGGATACTTTGTCTCAATAAATGTCACGTTTCTCTTCCTTCAGTAATGACGGCCAGTTTGATGTGGCTCTGTACGTCAACGTCTTGGTTTACAGTGACGGCACTGTTAAATGGCTTCCACCCGCCATCTACCGCAGTTCCTGCTCTATAGAGGTACAGTCTAAGCTCGTTTCTATTGAAACTGTACCAGTGCATAGACGGTTCCTCCTTGGAGCTTTTTTGAGAGTCATCTTCAAAATGATATGTTGACTTTCATTTAACAATCTATAGGTGGCGTACTTCCCATTTGACTGGCAAAACTGCAGCATGATTTTCCGCTCGTACACCTATGATTCCTCTGAGGTTGACCTGCAATACTTTCTGGATGATGACGGCAAAGAGATCCAAGAGATTGTAATAGATGAGAACGCTTTCACTGGTTGGTGCACGTAGTGACGCTTTTCAGTATTTGTCCTGTTTACGTGTTCGTAATTCGTATACGTACATTTTTTTAAGCTATTTAGTGGCTTCATTTTTTATTTACCAGACTGTGTCTGATTTAGAATAAATCATCTTAACACTTAACTTCTTCTCCTTGCGCCTCACCTTGGACAGAGAATGGTGAATGGGCCATTTGTCACAAACCAACAAGAAAGAACGTTAAGGAGGACCTGTATGAGGACATCACCTTCTATCTCATCATAGAGAGGAAGCCTCTTTTCTACATCATCAACATCATTGTGCCCTGTATCCTCACCAGCGTGTTGGCTATATTTGTCTTCTACCTGCCTCCTGGAGCAGGTCAGCACATGTGACATGTTGTGACATTGTGACTACACATCATTGCCAAGCCTAATCTCATGACAACAAGCATGTGTCTAATTTGAGCTGCTCTGTAAGTCAGGGCGACCTTTAAAGAACTGTATTGATCTACAATACATTGAAGGTGAATGATGGATCATTGTTACTCACTGTCCTTTTGCAGACACGTCATAATAATGCTTCACTGCCAATGAAAAAACAAACAAAAAAGCAGAACATATTCAACGGAAAGCTTCAGGGTTTTTACAAGTGTATAACAAACCTAGCAGGCTGCTCGGCCTAAGATACCACTGACTAAAAAATAGCAGTTTGATATAGTACCTCAGTGTATAACCAGATTAGAGCCAATTGCTAAACCCTGAAATTGATGGAAATCAGCCTGAGTCTAATAAATATCAGCAAGTCTCTTGATAGCAAGTTCCTTAATGTCTTGAATTCTGCTCTTGTTAGTATAACACTGTCTACAGAAAAAATGTTTTCTACCTTACTGTCATAATTAATTTGTCAACTTGTCCCTTTTCTTTGCAGGAGAGAAAATGACTCTTTCCATTTCCGTCCTCATTGCTCTGACTGTCTTCATGTTGCTGCTGGCTGACAAGGTCCCAGAGACTTCCCTCGGCATCCCAATTATTGTCAACTACGTCATGTTCACTATGATCTTGGTGACCTTCTCTGTCATCCTAAGTGTGGTAGTCCTCAACCTGCATCACCGAACACCCAGCACACACATCATGCCAAGCTGGGTCCGAAAGGTATTTAATAATCATCTAAAATGTTTATGTAAGAATTTGAAATCACAGATCACATATAATTTTTTTATGAATATAGTTAAACTTTGAGGATATCATAAAGGTTACTTTATATGTAATTTAACTGTCCTGTAATGTCAGTTTCTCAGGTGCAGCAATGTGTTTTGTGTTCCTGACCCAGGGCATGTTTAGTTACGGTTTTGTCTTACAGGTCATGGTTCAATGAGAATATATTTTTACAAAAAAACTTTTTTTTTAAAGTACGTTGGAAAGACCTACATATAAAATATAATAGTTTTTCATGACACTGATTATTAAAAAAAACCTCTTTAACATTATTATTTTTTTATGGGATAATAATAACTGTCACCGTATCTGTCTCCCATCTGACAGCACTCGTTATGAAATGGGAGAAAATATTGAGTCTCCAGAGACGTTGTAGTACACA